ATTTTGACTTTCAAACGTGCTTGGTGCACTTTTTGCCAAGTTAAACATCTGATAGTAAAAAAATTGATCATTATCATTTTTTTTTTCATAGCTTATTAAGAAGGGTATTCATAAAAACCGATGAAACCAATAATTGATTTAATTCTTCCTTTTAGCTTATTTAATAGGTGTTCATAAAAATCGATTGAACCAATAAACTAATCCGTGGTTCAAATTGTTGGTTCAGTTCCAATTCCAAGGCGTTGATTCGACTCCAATTTTATTAGTTTCGGTTCTTCTACTAACAACTATCAATTTTCAAAATGAGAAAACTGTTGGCCATTTTAGATTCTCGTAACAGATCGAACAAACCGTGATATGTAAAAGTAGAAGTAAATAGCAAAATTCAAACATCAATTTTGGCTCTCAATTATGTTATTTGTTATTATAATAAACTATGTGTGGGGACATATAATAAATTAGCTGCAGGCAAAAAACTGCTCCATGACAGCAATGAAAACCACCTGCAGCATACGAGAACCAGAGACAGTAGAAATCGAAGACGAGGACGTGGAGGTCCTAGAGGACGTCGGCAAAGAGCCAGCCGAAAAGAGTGAAGAAGCCTTGAAGAAAATCTTTGTCTAGCAAGGGGATGAGGAATGCTTCTTCCTTCTCAGCTCAGGCTTAGCCGAAGAAGAGGAAAAAGAACTGGAGGCTTTCTTGAGAGCAAACATTGAGGTGTTTGCCTGGACGCCTTACAAAATGCCTGGCATTAACCCCGAGGTCACTTGCCATAAACTGAACATAGACAGGTCGGCCAAACCTGTAATCCAACGGGCAAGAAGATCAACGTTGATGCATGTTGAGGCAGTGGAAGAGGAAGCAGACAGACTTCTGGAGGCCAAAGCCATTCGAGAGGTAAATTACCCGATATGGCTATCAAATACCGTGGTAGTGAAGAAAAAGAATGGTAAATGGAGGGTCTCCGTGGACTTTGCCAGCCTAAACAAGGCCTGTCCCAAAGACAGTTTCCCATTACCCAAGATTGACCAATTGGTGGATGCCACTTCAGGGCATGGAAAGATGAGCTTCCTGGATGCCTACAGGGGGTATCATCAGATAGCCATGTACCCCCCAGATGAGGAGAAGACTGTGTTTATCACCCCAAAAGGGCTGTATTGCTATAGAGTGATGCCTTTTGGGTTGAAAAATGCTGGAGTAACTTACTAGAAATTGGTAACCAAGATGTTTAGACACCTAATTGGCCGAACAGTGGAGGTATACATCGATGACATGGTTGTGAAGACCAGGAAATCTAAGAACCATCTGGAAGACTTAAAGGCAGTCTTTGACATCCTAAAAACATATCGGCTCTGACTCAATGTATCGAAATGTGCATTTGGAGTTGGATCTGGTAAATTCTTGGGATACTTGGTGACCAAAAGGGGCATTGAGGCCAGCCTAGATCAGATCAAGGCCATTCTAGAACTGAAAAGCCCAACATCGGTGAAGCAAGTACAGATGTTAACTAGAAGGGCTGCAGCCCTGAATAGGTTCATAAGTAGAAGTTCTAACAAATACAAACCCTTCTTCAGCTTAGTTAAGAAGGCCACAGACTTCTTATGGACAGAAGAGTGCAAAGTCGCCTTGGCTGACTTAAAGAAGTATTTGACCATGGCTCCAGTTTTCTCAAATCCAGAACCCAAAGAGGAGTTGTTCCTGTACTTAGCAGTTTCGAAGCATGCGGTAAGTGCAGTGGTAATCCGAGAAGAAAAAAGGGAGCAAATGGATGTTTACTATGTAAGCAAAACCCTGGCTGATGCAGAAACCAGGTATTTATCCTTGGAGAAGTTAACATTGGCCTTAGTAATGGCTTCAAAGAAACTAAACCATTACTTTCAAGCCCACAAAATTGTGGTGCTAACTGAACATCCTTTGAAGTCCTTATTACAGCAGGGAGATCTCATAGGCAGAATAGCCAGGTGGGCTGTACCCTTGGGCCAATATGACCTGGAATACAGACCCAGAACAGCAATCAAAGGCCAAGTTTTGGCCAACTTCGTGGCCGAGTTCACGCCAGGATCCATCATACATCGGGCTCTGTTAAGCCGAGGCGAACGATGTCCTAGCGAGCAAAGAGAAGCCCAGCTGAGGGCAACAAAACAAAGGAAGGAAGAAAAACTTAGGCCCTGCAGCATTTACATCGGCGACGCCTTTCGACTGTTTGTTGATGGGAGCTCAAACCGACAAGGAGCGGGGGTAAGAGTAATACTGGTATCTCTAGATGGACAGATACTAGAACAATCCATTCGTTTGGGGTTCAAGGCCTCAAACAATGAAGCAAAGTATGAAGCATTGATTGCAGGACTGAAACTGGCAGTAGTAGTAGAAGCAAATGAGGTGATAGTCTTCTGTGACTCCCAACTTATAGTCAACCAGACAACGGGCGAGTTTGCAGCCCGAGATGAAAGGATGTTGGCCTACGCAAAAAAGGTTAGCAGGTTGGTGGCCTTGTTTCAGAATTACCGACTACAGCAGGTTAGCCAAGATGATAACAGTCACGCTGATGCCTTGGCCAACCTGTCTAGTGTAATAACCTGGAAAGGCAAGGACGATAATGGTTGACTACTTGTCGAGCCCGAGCATCGAACCACTGACCACAGAGCATGAAACAATGTGTGTGGACATGGGACCAAGTTGGATGGATGCAATAGTAGCATTCCTGAAAGAAGGAAAACTATTAGATGATCACAAAGAGGCACGCAAGATCAGATTGAAGTCGGCAAGATTCAGTCTGACAGCAGAGGGACATCTCTACAGAAGATCCTTCACTAGACCCTTTTTAAGGTGTGTACATCCTTCACAAGTTAAAGATTTTTTGTACGAAATACATGAAGGAGTATGTGGAAGCCACACTGGGGGCAGATCACTTGTTCATAGGGCCATTACCCAAGGATATTGGTGGCCCTACATGTAGAAAGATGCAAAAGCCTATGTCAAGAAGTGTGAAAAGTGCTAAAGGTTTGCACCACTGATACACCAACCAGTAGCAGACCTGAACCCAGTATCCAGTCCTTGGTCGTTTGCCCAATGGGGCATGGATCTTGTTGGAAAACTGTCCAAGCAACTGGGCAAAGGAAGTATCTGCTAGTAGCAACAGATTACTTCACCAAGTGAATAGAAGCTGAACCCTTTGCTAAGATCCGAGACGTGGATGTGAAGAACTTCATATGGAAGAACATCATCATCAGGTTTGGGATCCCAAGGGCAATAATTGCAGACAACGGAACACAATTTGACAGTAAGCTAATCAAGAGCTTCTGTGCAAAATTTAGAATCAAGAATTATTTTTTGACCCCAAGTTTTCCTCAAAGCAATAGACAAGTAGAAGCGTCCAACAAAGTTATCTTGGATGTGATAAAGAAGAGGCTGCAAGCAGCAAGGGGAAAGTGTGTGGATGAATTGTCCAGTGTACTCTGGGCATATCAGACTACGCCGAGAAGATCAACGGGGGAATCCCCATTTGCCATGGCTTATGGCATAGAAGTAGTAATCCCACTAGAAGTCGGCATCCCAGGGATCAGAACTCGGGAGTAGAGAATGGGACTAATGATGTATTATTGGCTCGAGATCTGGATCTACTAGAAGAAAGAAGGGAGAAAACTGCAATTCAGCTGGCGGCATACTAGCAGTAGCTTGCCAGGGCTTATTTAAGAAGGTCAACCCAAGGGAGTTTCAAGTCGGTGACCTCGTCTTGAGAAAGGTCGTCGGTAACAAGAAAGATCCCAGAGAGGGCAAGCTTGGCCTGAATTGGGAGAGACCCTATAGAATCATCTCGATATTGGGCAATGGGGCATATCGGCTTGAAGATAATAAAGGCAAAAAGCTGCCAAGGCCTGGAATACTTGCAATTTGAAATTTTTCTATCATTAGACTTTTTTGTTCTTTGTTATTAGCCGAAGTAATAAATAAAGTTTTAGCTTGATTTTTTACACTTGTAACTGATAAGATACATAACGATGTTTCTGGTATACATGCACAATGAGAACCCAAGTAGAACTTAAGTTCACACTAGGGGGCAGGGAGTTGGAAAATGGTTCCTGGAAAGGTAGAAATTACAAGCTAAAATTAGTTTAACGCTTGTTGAAATTTGTGAAAAAATTACAAGTTGAAGTTAAACCGAGGTTATGTTTAACACTTGTTGAAATTTGTGAAAAATTTACAAGTTGAAGTTAAACCGAGATCATGTTTAACACTTGTTGAAATTTGTGAAAAAATTTACAAGTTGAAATTAAATCGAGGTTATGTTTAACATTTGTTGAAATTTGTGAAAAATTTACAAGTTGAAGTTAAACCGAGGTTATGACTAAAAGAAAATTGGTAAGACTAAGGTTTACAAGTTAAAGTTAAACCGAAGTTAAACACTTGTTGAAATTTTTTAGAAAAATTTACAAGTTAAAGACTAAGGTTGTATTAAAAAAAATACTTATGTACTTGCCAAGATAAAAACGTCTATTTTTTACTGAGGGACATCACCCCGAGAAGATTGCACAGACAAAGGTGTATGTTGAAGACATGCAAATCATTCTAAGTATAGAGTCATGCAATGAAGACAACCACACAAGCATCCAAAAGAGGAAGTTGTATTTACATTCCTAAGAAGGCACATCGGCCAGACAGAAAGCTTATATTGTTTTAAAGAACGAAAAGAGTACAAGGTACAAGAAAGAAAAAAGAGAAAAGCATCAAACTAAGACTCTTCGGCGTCTTTAGGCGGTTGGGTCTGGAGTTCGGAAGAGAAGACTGCTGAGAAGACATCTCGGTGGCCCTCTCAGCCGCGAGCTCGGCATCGATTTCTTAAAGAGTTTTTCGAGGCTCTTGTCGGCAATAGGCACGTCCGATGTTGCCTTCTCAGGAACAGTGTCTTTGGAGACCTCACCCTCCTCGTCCTGAGTCAAGTTTAGGACTTGCTCATTTGGAGTAGGGGACTTGGCCCCAGCAGCTTCCTTTGATTTCCTCACCAAAGCTTCCTCCTTAGACTCAGAATCATCTTCAGATTGGCTTGGAGTAGGGGAGAATGGAAGGGGGAGGACGTCGGCATTCTTGAAGAGGGAGTCCTCGGGGACATCAAGCTTTTTGAGGGCAGCCATCCAACCAAGGGTGAAACCCTTGTTGCATGCCTGATTCACTTGCTTTTTGTAGTTCGCCGTGACATCGGCCACTCCCTCATTGTGTGCCTTTTCATTTGCGGCCTTGATCTCGGCAGATTTTGTGGCCAAGGCATCTTGTAGTTCTTTTTAGGCCTCGGCCATCTTTGTCTCGGCATCTTTCTTTTTAGCCGTGAGGACCTTGGCGATAGCCTCGACAGCATCGGCTTTTTCCTCGGCCTCGTCTTTTGCTTTAATGGCCGCCGCAGCCTGGTTGGATAAAGTTTTCATCTTGGCCTTAGTCTTTTTGATGGTCTTTTGCAGACCAGAGACCTCCCTGATTTTGTCGGCCAACTCCTTCCTCATTTCGAAAGCTTGCATTAAGAAGTAGTGGGCGTGCTGGATCGCTTGAAAGAAAATCAACAGAACAAAAGTTAGTAAAAATCTCTGAGTATAAAGGAATAGAGAAAGAAAAATACCAAGTGTGAAAGACTTACTTGAACAGAATGCTACAGCATCAGAGCAAAATTTTCGTATTCGCTCATCTTAGCGTTACGATTAAGATCTTCGGGCAAAAGCAAGGTGGTGGATAGGCCAACGCCAACCTCAATGCTGTTTTCGCTATCACCAACCTTAACTGGCTTGTCGTCGATGGTGATTAGAGGGGCCCAGGGGGAGTCATGTTTTAATGGCCCCAAGGTGGTCGCAGAGGACGACCTCAGGCTCTTTGATCTAGTAGATTCGGATGGTTGGGCCTCGGCGGGCCTCTTCTCGGCAACATAAGGGGTCTTTTCACTCTCAACCAACTTTGAAATTGGCAAGGTGTCCTCAGTATCAATCTGAGTCACCGTTGCCTTGGGCTGAGCCTTCTTCAGACGTTTTGGCTTTGGCTTTGGTTGAGGCTGGGTTTGTGCTGATTGAGCGTCAATTGAGTCGGGGATGTCGGCCAAGAGGTCTTCAGCAACTGCTTTCTTGCGGCCCATCTTAGCAGCAAAAACAGTTTGACGTCATCAACGGCATTGAGATGGTGGGATCAGTTGTGGAGCAGAGGTAGATGGCTGCTCTGCTGGATCAGAGGTTGACCCCTGATCTGGCCGAGATGATGAGGTTGTGGGAGGAGTAGTGGCAGACGGAGGAGACTGGCTCTTCTTCTTCTTCGGCACGTCGGGAAGAACCGACTTATAGGTAGGAATGAAGTTGAGTAGCAAAGGAGCTTTCCGCCTCGGAATGGGTAGATCCAACAATTTCTTCAAGCCCTTGCTGGGGAAAAAGGACTTGCGGAAGTCTTTTGCTAGTTGAGGAAGAGCTGCAAGAAAAACAAACATTAGAACAAACGAAGTATTGAAGACTTTAAAAACAAGTAAATATAAACACTGGGCTCTTACCATTACCCTCTACAAAAACTGTTCGAGGAAGAGGGTAGAGGTGGAGGTCCTCATCTGGAGCGAACTCCCAGTTCCCCGAGATAATGAAGTAATCATCCTCGGCTCCCTTGTTAGAGTTTGGGAGGTTGGTAACAATTTTGTACTCTGTGGATCTCAGTTTGAGATAGTAAATACAGCCTTTCTCTAATTTGAAGCCACACATGGTGTAACAGTATTGAATGTCGGCTAAGGTAACCCTAGCATTCTCTTGTTTGGCTAAGACTATTATACCATTGATGACTCGGTAGGAATTGATGGCGAGCTGCATTGGGTTCAATTTATAGTAATGGAGTATCTCACGGAATAGGATGTCGAGTGGGAGCCTAAGTCCACACTCAATAAAAGCTACAACGGGGAAGGGCATAGAATCAGTTGTGGGCATGATGGAGTCATCCTCCCCAGCCAACCTCAGATGGACGTCGGCGGGGATGGAAAAGTCCTGCCTAAAATATCCCAACTTGGTTGGGGTATCTACTCGATGTTTCCACATACCCATGAAGTCGGCCAATGGGGAAGGTGTATAATTTGGAAATAAAGTGTTCTGTAAAGGCTCAGAAAACCTCGGAAAAACCTAAACAAGTGCTGGGGTAAAGATTTTTTGCGATGTAAAGTGAAGGTTGTTTCAGTTTTTCCCTAAGATTCGTGTGTTCTATGGCAAATCTCAAACCTAAGTCTAAGCAAAATGGAGATTGAAGGCAAGAATCTGGAGAAAATATAGAAAACACAAACAAGAGCAATGATTCAGAATCAAGAATAATGGTGAATCATCAAGAACACTGTGACAGAGTGTGTGCAAGGGTGCAAGGCCAAGAACAGTGGCAGAATGAACAAGTATGTGAGTATTGTGTGTATATTAAAGAACGGTTTGGGCAAATAGAAAAATCATGAGATAAATATGCCCAGAATACATGGTTGGATTCAAAACACAAATGTGAATGACGTTGCAATTGTAGTATACAAATGTAACAGTTTGAGGAAAAACAAAAATTAAAACGAAGGAACAGTGACTTACGAGGGAAGATTAGGGTCGCCGAGATCAGACGATGGTAGCAACCAGAGAAGTGCGGCAAAAATCCTCGCCGGAGGGGGAGAGCGAAGCTGGTTGCAGAAAGCCTCGCGAGAACGACAATGACAGATTTGGGGGAAAAAGTTAGAGAGAGAAAAAGCTTCAAAAACGATGATGTAAATTGAAAAGGCAGAGAGAGGAAGGAAGTTTTGTTGAAACACAAAAACGGCGGCAAAAAGGCAATTACTGTGCCTAAAACGACGTATGTGTCAGACGGCGCACGAAAGAGCAATTCGACTTAGTGGCGCGTGTCAGGTACAGCCCAAAGAGAGAGAGACGCGCGACAAGAACGGTTGAGTAGTCATGCGTGACAGCTCATACGCGTGTTGAGGCTCTTAGAATTCTCGATTTAACGGAGTAAAACCTCGGCTTGGAGGATGATCTCAACTGTGAAACTTGAACAAACTTGGTTAATGATTTTGAGGCATTGGTGAAGGCAGACTGTCAGTTTTTGGTCATATTGAGACGACACATTATGACCTCGGTAATGAACGAATGGAGTGATCTTAGCCGACGTGCTAAATGGAAGAAACGATATAAGTTCCATCACCTCAGGATGCCGAGGTAATAGAACCTAGGTGGCAGTTGTAGGGACATATTTTCTAAGTGCCAGCACGTGGCCAAGGTGACGTCGAAGTGTAAGCCGAGGTGCCACGTGTCTCGGTCATGACGCCGAGGTTATCTCGGCTAGGCCGATGTTATCTCCGAAGATATTGGAGTTTGGGATAAGCGAATAAAGGACAAGAGTCCTGGATTGAATGGGACTTCAGTTTGGGTAAGGATAAAACTCTTAGAGAGTTTATTCCAATCCTACTGGGAGTCCAAGATTAACAATAAACCTAAGTCCAATGGAGCTAGGCTTCTATTGGGACTAGAATTGTATTGGCTATAAAAAGGAGGCACCCCCATGGGTCTAAGGTACACAATTTATATTCTGAACAGTGAGTTAAGCACTTTTGCTATCTTTGAGAGATAACTGACTTGATCATCGGAGTGCCCCTGGGTGGACGAACTACCGCCGGAATCTCTTCTTGCTGTTGCAGGTCGTTCGGGACTTATCTATTCTTCCAGTGCTCTCCAGCTAAGTACTAATTTGGCAGTGTGGTCGGAAATTGACACACACACTATGTATCATTTTTCTTGTCACGTAATATTTTAGGAATTGTGGAACAAATTCTAATCAAATTGGTTTTTGTGGTTCAATTATGGTCTAGTTACATAGGCTCAAAGATTCCATTATGATTCTAATTCCGGAAGGAAATGTAGGGTCCAATTTGATTCATAGTTTATTATGAAATTGGACCAATTTAATTCGAGAACACTCATATTGTTTAAGCTATTTTTGGTTCTTAAAGTGAGAAGAAACAACTACACTTTAATACAGATTCTTAAAACAAAAAAGAAGTTATAAACAACTTTAAAACTTACATCAAACATAGCCAATGACTTAATGTTGTAAACAAGTAGTGGGTTGTTTAACATTAATTTTAAAACTTCTTAAATTTTAGAATGTGTCTAAATTTGACATATTTATTATTTGATTGACATTTAACAAAATTTGATGGAATTAATCAAGACTTAAACTGGAGTAGTTTGGCTTTATATACAATTTTAAAGTTATCAATTCTAAAAAACTTATCAAGTTGAATTCCAACAAATAAGTTTAAAATAACAACTAAGTACGTTTAAATTCACTTGTTTATTTAATCCATAAATTTTAAATAAAATTTAATGAATTAAACACAAACTAATCTCCAATAACTATTAGTTTTGCATGGAGCACTTTAGAAAAAATAATTTCAATCAAACTATCATCGATAGGTTGATAATTTCGTAATCTACCATTAACCCACATGACCTCAAAATTGACAAGCTAATTTAAGTATTTTGGTAGTTTCAAATCAACAAATTCAACAAATTGTGAACTTTAACATACCGAATGAACACATTTTAAAGGCATAAGCTTTGTAATATAATTCTAAAGTTGCGAAATATACAAAATAAAAATAAAGGAAATAGAAGTGCCCACGGGCAGGAGGAGGGGGCATGCAAAATTAAGGGGTGAGTAGCCACATTGAGAAATTTAGAGAGATATGAAAGTCAACAAAACCTACATTTGTCTTATCCCCAAAGTCTCGAAGCCTGAACTTGTTACTCAGTACAGACGTATCAGCTTACACAACACGATGTATAAAATTTTCACCAAAACTCTTGTCTCTTGTATCAAACATTTGCTTCCTGATCTCATTAGCCCTTCTCAAGCCAGCTTCATCCGGGCCGTAAAGCCACGGACAATGTCATCATTGTTCAAGAAGTGGTTCATCATCTCAAAAATAAAAAAGGAAAGTCTGGCAATATGCTTATCAAAATTGACCTTGATAAAGCCTATGATCGCCTAAACTGGAATTTCATACATAAGGTTTTAATCGCCATCAACTTCCCGAAAAGTTGGATAGATATCATCATGGCTTGCATCACCACACCAACCTTTGCTATCTTATTCAATGGTGGTG